GATTTTCTTCTGTCACAGAGTAACTCAGTTCACTTGACAAGGCCAAACGTGAGCCAAAAATTAATGGCTCTTGCAACAGCCAGTACAAAGAGTTCACAGTCCGCTCCTTTGGAGTGTCTAACAAGACCCACACTTTAAAAAGATTCCTATAAAAAACAGGAAACTTTCAACTTTTGAGGATCTAGCCAAAATATGACTCTATCCAATCCCAGGCCTTCAAACCCTCTCAATATAGAGAAAGCTGCTTTCTTCCAGTTTGAGTTCTCTGAGCTTGTTAAAAGTCTTTGCATGAACTGATTCCTGAAAGCAGCTGTTCGACTTCGTAGATGTACCAGTCCAAACCCTCCTTCTTCTTTAGGAAGGTACAGTACACTTTTTGGTACCCAGTGCAACTTGTCCCAAAAGAAATCCACTAAACATGACTGAATCTTAGATAAAATATCTACTGGGGGATCTATGCAACTTAAACAATGCCAGAGAGTAGAGGCAACTAAATTATTTATAACCAAAAGTCGTCCTTTATATGACATCTTGGGAACTAGAAACTTCCACCTATCGAGGCAACCTTTTAAACCTTCTGAAAAGCACCTTAAAAATTTTCTTTAACAGCATTCTCATTGCCTAAAAAGACACCCAAGTATTTAAAACTATCTCTGGTCCATTTCAGACCAGCTGGTCAAATGGGTTCACCATGTAACCAACTCCCAGCAATTATAGCTTCACTCTTTTGCCAGTTTATTTTTGCAAAGGAGACATGTCTAACATCATATTTACATCATTTTGATTACTAATTAACACTATCACATCATCAGTGTCACGAATCCGGTCCATGAACTTCTATCTTCTATTTCATTTTTTGTTACCTCCAAGAGCTCTAAGTTTAACTAAATCGTCTTCTAATTTTCTTATTGACCTAATCTTATCCTTTGTGACGTTGTGAGTATATTGTTGACAAAGTTGTTTAGTTTGAACTCTAAAAAAATCCCACCACTGCTGCAAAGTTTGAAAGGAAGACTTTATTAATTTTACATTAACCCAAAAAGCCTTAAAAACATCCTTAAAATGTTTATCACCTAACAGTGTGCTGTTAAAATGCCAATAGGCACTTTTTGGTTTTACACAGTCAAAAAACATCTCACATTTCACAAGACTGTGATCATAAAAACAAACTGGAATAATTGAACACTCTTCGAAAAAATTAATTTGATGTTTAAAACCATAAAATCTATCTAACCTAGCTAAAGATAACTGCCCTTACGAAAAATATTCTTTATTCAAGTGTGCTATTAGTATACTTCTTTTAAACAAAAAATAGGAAAGTATACTTTTAGTCTGCTTTTTATGTACTTCTCAGACATGGGCTTTATGTACCTCTCAGAAATACACTTAAAATGACATTTAAGTATACTTGAACTAAATATATTTTAGATATAATTGTGCTCCTAGAATTCGTGTTTTCATTGTTATACTGTAGGAATCTTCAGGATCACAATCACTTAACACTTTACACCAGGGGTCTCAAATTGCCGGCCCGCGGGCCCTTTACGGCCCCCCCTCCCCCTCCACCCGGCCCGCAACTGATGTCAAAAATAAAACATAATCCGGCCCGCTAAATTATTATTATTATTATTACTATTATTATTATTTTCTAGTTGTCTCGTACCATATTCCATATTCAAAAGAATGACATGATTCTATAAAAAAATAAAAAAAAATAAAAAACGCGAATGCAGGCAGATTTGAAGATAGCTGGTTTCGGGGCTTTCGTAGTTTCTGATATGCAAAGAAAAAGTCGCCGTTCTAAAGGAATATAATTTCAAGCGTCATTACTCAACTAAACATGGAGAACAGTATGAAAAGTACCAGGAAGACGAGAGAAAAAGACGAGCCATGCAGTTGCAGAGAGAGCTAACATCCCAGCAAAACCTTTTCCATAAAGCCAAAAAGAAATGCTGATGCTGCAGTTGAAGCAAGTTATGTGGTGAGTGAGTTGATCGCTAAGCGGGAAAGCCATTCACAGAAGGGCAGTTTATAAAGGATTGCATGCAGAAAGTCGCTGATATTCTTTGTCCAGAAAAGAAAAACTTGTTTAACTCTCTTTGTCGTCAAACACAGTAACAGAGCGGATCAGCGAGTTATCGAGTGACATTTATGATCAGTTATGCAGCAAATCTAAAGTTTTCACTGCATACTCTGTGGCGCTTGAAGAAAGCACAGACATAACTGACAGTGCTCAGCTAGCAATTTTCATCAGGGGTATTAATGACCAGTTTGAAGTGACAGAAGAGTTGCTGAGTTTGTGTCCAATGCATGGCCGTACCACAGCCAAAGATATATTTCAGCAGCTGTGTGACGCAATTGAGCGCGCTGGTTTGCCGTGGAACAGGCTGGTCGGCATTACCACTGATGGCGCCCCGTCTATGACTGGGGAAAAAAATGGACTGGTAGCACTAGTACAAAGTAAGTTAGAAGAGGAAAATGCAGATCCAGCAGTAGTTCTGCACTGCATTATTCACCAACAGGCACTGTGCAGCAAATGCTTGAAATATGAACATCTCATGTCTGTTGTCCTGAAATGTATCAATTACATCAGGGCGGAGTTTACAGCACCGCCAGTTTCGAGCCTTTTTAGAAGAAATTGAGTCAACATATGGTGATGTGCTTTATTTTACTGAGGTGCGCTGGCTCAGCAGGGGGGATGTCCTGAAGAGATTCTTTGAGTTAAGAGCAGAGGTGAAGAGATTCATGGAAGATGGCAGAATGGATGTTCCTGAATTTAATGATCCTAAATGGGTCATGGATCTTGCATTCTTAGTTGACATAACACAGGAGCTGAACGTCCTTAACCTGAAGCTCCAGGGCCCAGGTCAGCTCATCACAGCAGCCTATGAAAGTGTGAAAGCCTTCTCCACAAAACTAAAATTGTGGAAAACTCAGCTTTCTGCAAAAAACCTCAGTCATTTCCCAACATGCAGATCTCTTGTGGAGGAGGGCACAGCATTCAATGGTGATGAAAGCAGACAAGACTGGACAGTTTTTGAGAGAATTACCTCCATGCTTCCCAGAGCTGTCCAAAGTGTTCACTCGGGTAATGTGCTTTTTTGGAAGCACATATCTTTGTGGGAAACTTTTCTCAAATATGAACTTCAATAAATGCAAGTACAGGTCCAGGCTTAGTGATGCCCATCTTGAAGCTGTACTCAGAGTTTCAACTGTGACCTCCATCAGGGCAAACGTGGCTCAGTTGTGTGAGCAGAAGCGCTGCCAGGTGTCTGGCAAGAAATAGAATAGTGTACAAATGTATTCAGGGTTTGCATTTGTTCAGTGCAATGTTGTTAGTTGAGTGCAAGGTTTTAAGTTAAGTTAAAATAAAGTAAGGGAAAAATATTTGCACTACCTGTTAAAAACAAATATATACTGTTATAACAACGATAGAGACACTGCTGTTTACATTTTTTGTTAAGTTTGACAAAAATATTTTAGCAATGGAACTTGAAGTAAATTAGAAATAATGTTAAGTAAACTTTCAGAAATGTTCCGCTTTCTTGTTGTGCTTGAATGTTAAAATGGCCCTCCTATGAGGTGTCAATCACAGCAATGGCCCCCAGCCAATTTGAGTTTGAGACCCCTGCTTTAATTACTGCCTCAATTCGGCGTGGCATGGAGGTGATCAGTTTGTGGCACTGCTGAGATGGTATGGAAGCCCAGGTTTCTTTGACAGTGGCCTTCAGCTCATCTGCATTTTTTGTGGTCTCTTGTTTCTCATTTTCCTCTTGACAATACCCCATAGATTCTCTATGGGCTTCAGGTCTGGTGAGTCTGCTGGCCAGTCAAGCACACCAACACCATGGTCATTTAACCAACTTTTGGTGCTTTTGGCAGTGTTGGCAATCCTGCTCTAAAAGGAAATCAGCATTTTCAAAAAGCTGGTCAGCAGAAGGAAGCATGAAGTGCTCCAAAATTTCTTGGTAAATGGGTGCAGTGACGTTGGTTTTCAAAAAACACAATGGACCAACACCAGCAGATGACATTGCACCCCAAATCATCACAGACTGTGGAAACTTAACACTGGACTTCAAGCAACTTGGGCTATGAGCTTCTCCACCCTTCCTCCAGACTCTAGGACCTTGGTTTCCAAATGAAATACAAAACTTGCTCTCATCTGAAAAGAGGACTTTGGACCACTGGGCAACAGTCCAGTTCTTCTTCTCCTTAGCCCAGGTAAGACGCCTCTGACATTGTCTGTGGTTCAGGAGTGGCTTAACAAGAGGAATACGACAACTATAGCCAAATTCTTTGACACGTCTGTGTGTGGTGGCTCTTGATGCCTTGACCCCAGCCTCAGTCCATTCCTTGTGAAGTTCACTCAAATTCTTGAATCGATTTTGCTTGACAATCCTCATAAGGCTGCGGTTCTCTCGGTTGGTTGTGCATGTTTTTCTTCCACACTTTTTCCTTCCACTCAACATTCTGTTAACATGCTTGGATACAGCACTCTGTGAACAGTCAGCTTCTTTGGCAATGAATGTTTGTGGCTTACCCTCCTTGTGAAGGGTGTCAATGATTGTCTAATGGACAACTGTCAGATCAGCAGTCTTTCCCATGATTGAGTAAAAAATCCTCAATTTTGACTCTTCTCATGTTTTTTGTCACCTTTAAAAAATGCTTAATGTCATCTACATTATATACTTGACTAGAAAAGCCGCTCCCAGGCAAACTACCCATGAAGCTGCATTCTGACCCCTCACCCTCACTGTCCGTATCAGTCTGACTAACTTCCTGAACATCATTTTTTTTCGTCGGCTTACTAGCATGTCGTTCCATTGACTTCCTTTTTTGCGGTGCTTTAAAAGAATAATCATCCAATTCAAGTACCGATCCACCCAAATTCTGGTCCATCAACATCTGTTCTCCAGAATCCACCACATTGTAGCTATCTTCTGATTCTACCAAAGGGACTATTATCGGTTCTTATCAACAACCAACACTTTCTTCACACTTGTAACTAGTTTTGTCGGTGTCACCTCATTATTTTGCTCCGCATCTTCAGCGCGAGCTACACTAAGCCCCGGTACCTCCGCATCAACCGTAGATTCATTCTGCACTACTCCAACACTAGTATTAGCGGCGTTTGACTCGACCCTTTTATCAGTTTGAGCCTCTTTCCTAGGACAATCACGTACAAGATGTCCATTTTCTTTACACCCGAAACATTTCATTGAATTCGTTGTGACATAAGTCACATAATTGAAACTTTCATGACTAAAATTTAAAGTCAAATCCAACTCTTCAGTGTTGTCTTTTAAAATCATATAGACATAGCGTCGGAAGGACACCACATGTTTCAGCAGGGAAGACTTGCTCCCAATTGCAATAATTTTTATTGTCGAAACTAATTTGCCATAACGCGACAGCATTTCCGCCACAACCTCATTTGTTATAAATGGAGGCACATTCGATAACGTTACACGTTTCGACGGGGCTGAAAGGGGAAGCACCCGAGTAAAACTTCCATTAATTTCTACACCTGTTTCCACCAGTTGATTTGCCAATTCAATCGTCTTAACAAATATAACAACAGCACTATTCATCCTTGAGGCTGACAAAATATTCTCACAACCAATTAACGTACCTACAGCCAAACTACATTCCTCCACTCCAAACACTGAATCAATTTTGACCGCATGCCGTAAGTGGCTAAAGCTCTCCTTCCCTGGAAACGCCATGCTCCCAGTTTAAAAACTGGGAGCAAAGAACCCAACACTTCAACCACTTCACCACTAAATACAAAAACAAAAACAAACAAAATATATATATATATATATAGAGAGAGAGAGAGAGAGAGAGAGAGAGAGAGAGAGGCTCTACATAAGAGTGGCTTAATATTATGTAATGAAAAAAGGTGGCAGGTGGCACTCAAAATGGCTTACTGAAAAATATTAAAATGCATACACAAAGATTAATAATTTTTATGTCAGTTTTATTATAGCTATATATTAATTAATTATCAGTTCATTAATTATGCAAAAGTGATTAAAAACGATACTATTTAATCTCAGGTTAAAGGAAACAAATGCCTGAGTTTGGTGCAAACTGTGCCACTAAAATTTAAATGTTTTCAGGATGTGGTCAGAAGTGAACATTACACTGTTCCTATGTGAAGCACACACCCCACCCACAAACAGCTTACACACGCACAAGATTCTGCAAGTAAAATATCATGAACATGACTTTCAGAAGACAACGAGTAAAGGAATAAGCATCATGTCTGTGAAAGGGGACTTCACAATCCATTCCACAGAAGTCAATAGTACAGGCAGTAATCAAAGGTACACTGATTTGCATCTTACACTTTCTTACTGGAGGGGTTAAGTCTCCAATCTTGATAATAATAATAATAATTTTTGTTCTGCAGCATATGCTTTAGTATCATGTGAGTTGGTAGGTTAGCTTGTGTGTTTCCAACCAACCTGCTCAGAATTTTTATTTGTTTGTGCGACATAATTTTTTGTTATTGACCAGTAAGATTAAAAATGCATTCTGTGGCTAAACATGAATTATTGCAGGAGTCAATTAATATGATTAATTTAAAAATGAGTCAAACATGACCCAAGTCAAACATTGTTGTTCAACCATGCATGTATGCAGGGACAGCAAAGGGCATTTTGTTTTACAACTACTCATGCTACAGTACATTTACAACAATTATTGAAGTTTTTAGAATTCAATGGCTGAATTTTCTTGTATTGATAAAGGAGTACTAAAGCAATTGACATCTGTTTCTACATTGGCCAGTTGCTTCAGAGATGTTGGAGGAGGGAATCAGTTTCTTACTCTTCTCTCCAAAACAGTTGTTCAGGTCACATTTAGCACTGATATGTGTGATTAGTTTTATAAACTGCAGCTCTTTAATGGGTGGTGGCTTTGTCTGTGGTCTTTTTTAGTGGAAACAGGATCTTCAAGCTGAATATTGGGTTTTGCTGTGGTAGTTCTGTGTTATTTGAAAACAGTCCTTCTTAGTGCTTGATGGTCCCTATTAGGGATGGGAAGATTCCCCGATTCGCTTGGTGCATCGGCATAAAAAGTTAACGATACGATACATCGGTTTAAAAAGTGTGCATCGGCTACAAGCGGTCATTTATATCGCGATGCATCGTATCTAACATATTTGCATTGGTAAAAACAGTTTCATTTATATATAATTACTAGTGGATGTGCTATACTTTTATTATTTAGAAAGTGACCAATAATCTGTGATCTATGTATTTGATGGTCAAGCGCATTCTTTCATCACTGCTGCTGCTGCGTGAATATGACGCATCACAACACCACAGAGACCTGAGGAAAAACTTGGATTAAAGTCCAAAACCTGACTTGAAATAACCTAACAAATCAATCGGGGCTAAAGAGGTTCCATTAACGACAAATTAAATTCACACTAATTTGAGCACGCTTATTCTTAAGCAGACCTTACTCGATCATGGATCAAATCGATCCACAATGACAAAAAGCGAATATATCTGTGCTGTTTAATGCATTTGAGATGTTGTGTTGGTATATTTTTCATCTGTAAATGTTAGATAGTCATGCAAACATATCCATATTGCTGTTAGGAGTGGGCAATACATGCGAGCGCAACGAGCACATCTGCACGCATGCGCGCTAAACAGACAGAGCGCAATCGAATAGGAGCGCAATAATTCTGAGTAAAATATACATTTAGATTAAAAAAATGTTTTTGGACATTAAATGTGTCTTTTGTAGAATTATAAACCTACATATAAAGTGTATTTTTATGATAGCAGTAACTGTAAATGGACTATTGTAATAGGTAAATTAAATGTAATCTAGTAGGCTACAGTACTAATTACTAAGCTCAAATGAGTTAATGTGTGTTTCTTATAGCAGTTAAAATGTTTTGAGCACCTTTTTAATTCAGTGATTTTAACTTTTAATTGAGTTATTTTAATGCTTTAAAGAGCAATTTTTGATTGTAATTAGGGCTGCAACTAAAGATTATTTTAATAATCGATTAATCTTTCGATTATTTTTTCGATTAATCGATGAATCGGATAAAAAACAAAAAAGCAAGAAAAGCATTCATTTCCAACCCTTTATTCAAAAACAGAACTAAAACCTTTAGAAAGTGCACAAACATTTTGCTCCTTGAACATCCCTGAGCTGTTATAATAATAATAATAATAAAATAAAATAAAAATGGACTTACACAAAAAACATACACATGTATGCTTTACATCTGCCAAATATATAGACTTTTTTTAAAAATAAAGTGCCACCTGAGCTGCCAGAACAATAAATAATTTATAAAAAATAAAGAACAATACAAATCAGAAAATTTAACAGGATTTGTTTGAATGTCCGAACTTGTTCTCTACACTACACTGCAGACGCACACACTCGCAGACGCACACACTCGCAGATGCACACAC